GGAAGCAGGCGGCATCGCCCTCCGGCCGGGCCCGCCGCGGCGCCGGGCCCAACGCTTACTCTTGCTGACGGTCTTCAGAGCGCGCGTGAAGTCGCCGTTCTGTCCGTAACGGTTCACTTCGCTCCACAGCGCGGGCACCGAAACCCCCCCGCTGCCGCCGCTCGCCATCTTGGAGAAGAGGGGGCGGCGCCGGGCGACCTCTGCCCCGGAAGAGGATCCCGCGCCCGCACAGCGGAGGAGGAAGCTGTCGGTTGCTAGGCGTCGCGGAGTGAGTCTTCGGACCCCAGCGTGCGAGGCTAGAGGTTGCTTGAGGCCTGGGGTGCGCCCTGCGCAGAGGTGTGTGGAGGAGAGAGGCGTCGGGCTGCGAGGGGTGGGGTGGTGTTTCACCGAAGTGCCGGCCCACAGCGGCGTGTCTTCCCGGGCGGCCGCTGTGGCCGAGGTGCGAATGCGCGCTGTGAGTGAAGGCGGGAAAGCCGTAAAGGAAGCAGGGGCGAGGCGCTAGAAGCGGGCGGAGTCCCGGCCTTGCGGTGGTGACCGAGATTGAATCCCAGAACGAGGAACTGGCATTTGAGAAGGAGTTCAAAAGCCATTCGGGGAACGATGGCTTGGTTCTGGGGAAAGTGGAGGACATTCCGGCACAAGGTGAGCTTGACGGAAGGCTCCGGAGAAGAGGAAACAATCCCCCAGGCAGAGCACATTGGAAACCTCCTGGGTGCCCCTTTGGCGTGAAGGACGGGAGGGGAATGAGGTGGTTCTCTGACTAGTTGACGGTAAACAAGTTACTCAACTTCTTGGAGCCTGTTTTAACCCCCTGTAAAGTAGGGATAAAATAGATGATACGCCTGTAATCTCAGCACTCCAGGAGGCCGAAGCAGGAGGATCACAAATTAGAGCCCACCCTGGTCAGTTTAGACTCAAAAAGCGGGGAGAGGCGGGAGATAAGGTGAACTCGGCAAAGGCCCAGCGTTCATCTCCCAGTATCACCAATAGTAGTTTCAGTAATAAAAGATAATTCACGCATCTGACAGTCACAACACATACCCATACTGGATTTACGGCTTGTGTAAGACTTAAGTATGAGCATGTGTTCAGATGCAAGGGAATGGATGGATATGCATTGGGTACACTTGCTGTGAGTGACAGGACATTTTTATTGTTCTACTCTGTAGACATGGCTCTTGTCGTGATCATTACAACTCCTGTCACTTCCTCTGTCCCTTAACATTTTACTTAACTCCTTTTCATCCTTGTACTTAGGGTTAGGATTTGCTTCTTAGAAGAAACTTTGTACACGGGCCAGCATTCTGGTTACATTGTTATACGGTGCTCTACTTCTGTTTTGGTGCGATGGCAGGTGTCCATGCTAAGGCCTCTTGCATGCTAGGTAAGCTGTCCAACAGTGAGCTGCACCCCCAGTCCAACGCTACTTCTGAGCACCGATAAGGTCTTGCTCACTTTGAATGGCTTATAGTTCTTTGAGGCCAAGACACCACATTGATTCTACTGACTACAGTATCAACTAGAATCTAGCACATCACTTATCTTTCTTTTTCTGTTTTCTTGACACAGGGTCTTGCTATGTAGTTCAGGCTGGTCTCGAACTGCTGCTCCCTGTGCAGCACTGGCTGGCCTTGAACTTGCAGCAGTCCTCCTGCCTCAGCCTACTGAGTGCTGGGATTAGTCATGAGTCACCATACCTGTGGTCACCTTTGAGTACCTAACGTACTCAGCTTTTAAGTTGAGTGACCTTTGCTTCATAATACTTGCTTAATTTGTGAATTGCAGGCAGAAACTGTCCAGCTCCTATGTCATATGGTCCCTGCCACATTTCACATCTGGTCAGTGTAGTACAAAGTTAGCGCTGAAGTGGAGTGAGCGCTAGGAACTGGAGGGCATAATCTTTGGATATCAGCAAAAATCATGAGGAAGGCTTTGGATTTTCACTGACTGTACATGTTACAAATTTCAAGCTGATCATGCCTAAGCACTCATGCCTTCAGAGATGAGTGTTTCCGATAACATTTGATATACTCCAGTTTTGTTTTTTTTTTTTTTTTTTTTGGTACTGGGAATCAAACTCAGGACCAGGCAGGCTCTTGTGCCCTTGAGCTACATCCCTGGCCCTCAAATTTTTGTTGTTTAAATTTTTCCAAGATTTTGTAGATGCCAGTAAAATTCTTTCAAAGTTGTTTTTAACTGCCCGCTCCCCAAGAGCTAATGCTTTAGTAGTATGTTTTTACCCTTTCAGAACATAGACTTTTACCAAGGGATCTGGCATGTGGTGAGGCTGGGGGGGCTCATTTCTGTGGTTCATACATGGTGCTTTCTGTGTTCTCACATGGTAGGAAAAAAGACTGATCTTTTAAAGCATATACCTGATGCCACTCTTTTATCCTCATGATAAACTCCGAACTGCAAGGTGCAGCATGTCATGTCCTTGGTGATCTGGACTGTGCTTGCCACTTCTCCACCCATATCAGTCTCATTACTGTACTCGCAGGATTGGTTTTTCTGTTGCTGTGACAAGATAATCAACTTACAGGGAGGAAAGGTTTACTCTGGCTGATGGCTTAATGGTTTCAGAGACTTCAGTCCATGGTAGTCTGGCTCTGTTGCTTGCGGGCCTGTGGCATTGCAGTGTGTCCTGGCAGAGAGCATGTGGTAGAGCTGTTCACCTCAGAACTCTATGAAGCAAAAAAAGGGACCAAGGTCCTGACCTTTAAGGATGACTTCACTTCCTTTCACTGTACATCCAACCCACCTCTCAGAGGTTCTACCACCTCCCAGTAGTGCCAAAGGCCTGCAGCCAAACCTTAACGCTCCCTTGTCCTTCTTGCATGCTATGCTCCAACATCAAGCTACATGTATGTAGTTCTTTCCATGACCCTGTACCGCTGGGAATTGCACTTGTATTTATTCAGCAAATATTTCAGCAGGCTGTAGTGGTTGGTACATGCCTGTAATCCCAACACCCAAACTTAGGGCAACCCTATCTCCAAATAAATGAAAGGAGGACTGGTGAGATAGCTCAGTGGCACAGCGCCTGCCTGGCAAACACAAGGTCCTGAGTTTGATTCCCGGTACCAAAATGAATGAATGAATGAACGAGTGAATGAATGAAAGGGAGGGAGTGTAACTCACTATGAAGGCCCTGGATTCAATCTCTAGTACATGAAAAAAATGACTGTTTTAGTACCTTGTGTAAGACTGTGCTGAGGCACTATAGTAGTTGCTTGGGATACAATTAACAAAGACATCCGGTGTAGTCATGCAGTATTTTCTAGTGGGGAGAAAGGCAGGGTTATGGTTGATACATTGTGTTTAAGAGTAGTCCAGAAGCTTAACTAAGTAACTCAGCAGTTCTACACCCTGGGGTGAAAAGGACAGGCCCTTACTGCTCTGGGATGTTGCTCGTTGTGTCACCTTGAGAAGTTCAGGTTAACTAAGTGACTCGGCAGGGGGCCAGGTCCTTACTTCTTACTCATCCTAAACGTGTGCAAGAGGAGGGAAGGGAGACTGTGTGAGTGCTGTCTGCCCTGGGGGGCAGGATAGTCTGCTTACAATGTAAGGGAGGAAAGGAGGCTTATTCTCCCCCGCCCCCTGGGTGGGTTTGCTGCTTTTGCTGTCTCCTGCCACCTTGAAGTGTTGCCCTGTGCCATGCCACCCTGCCTTGGAGCCAGCCGATTATGGACAGAAACCTCCACAAACTGGGAGCTAAATAAACCTTTCCTTCCTTAACTTTGGGTGTCGGGTATTTTGTCTCAGCAATGAGAAAAAAGTAACCCAGATAGGCAGTAAATATATTCTTGGTGGTAATAAATCCTACAAAGAAAGGAAGGAAATAGAAGAGAAATTGAGTCTTCATTTGCACTGTATTTTTTAAAAGAGATATTACATTCTCCTTTGTGTATTCATAGCACTCTGTCCTTTCCATATTAACTATACAGTATATATAGTGTCCTGAAATTACCTGACTCCGGAAGACTCTGGGGCTCATGGAAGGCAGAAACTAAATCTTGTTTACCTTTGCCTTCCTGCGTCTTATACACAAAGTATACGTTTGATCAAGTGGCGTTCTCCACAGAAAGAATCAAAAGGGACCAAGGTCCTGACCTTTAAGGATGACTTTACTTCCTTTCACTGGTAGATCCAACCCACCTCTCAGAGGTTCTACCACCTCCCAGTAGTGCCAAAGGCCTGCACCTAAACCTTAACACTCCCTTGTCCTTGCATGCTATGCTCCAATATCAAGCTACATGTATGTAGTTCTTTCCATGACCCTGTACTGCTGGGAACTGCACTTGCATTTATTCAACAAATATTTCAGCAGGCTGTAGTGATTGATACATACCCTGTAAAAAGGGTATAGAGATTTATTGAGGGCTTAGTTCAACAACTATAGAGGCTGAGAGTCCTACAATCTGCTTCCTGGAAGCTATAGACCTCGGGAAGCTGATGGTGCAGTTTGAGCCCAAGCTTGAGGGGCAGACAACCAGTGTCTGAGGGCATAAGATGTATTTCCCAGCAGACAGTGAACTGACCCGTCCTTTTTGTTTTATAGTTAGGCCTTCAGTGGACTGGATGATTCCCTCCCACAATGGTGAGGGCAGGCTTTTTTTTATTGAGTATGAGGATAAGGCTAGTGTTTTATTTGAGGCTTCTGTATTCAGACGTAGGAAAGGGAAAATTTCTTTTTTAACAGCATTGGTTTCCTATGCAGTCTAGGGTACCTTGAACTCAATATCCTTGTGCTTCAGCCTTCCAAGTGCTGGGATTACAGGCATGAGTCACTATGCCTGGCTCACAAATGTTTTATCATCTAGTTGGGTATCCTTTAGCCTAGTCAAGTTGATACATAAAGTTAGCATCACTTAAGTACTGAAAACTTATTTTTATATTAATATTTGGACATTCAGGATTTGAGGTATATATAGTATATAATGTTATTATCTTACTTAACTCTAGGTCAGGCAAAAGAAGTATTATTTAGCTCCACTTTATGAAATAGAACTTACATTCAAGAGTGATATGCTTAAGGGAATACTGATTCTAAGAAGGGGAAAAGGTAGCAAAAAATGTACCCCCAGCCCCAGCCAGTATACTTTCGCTTGGTAGTTGCCCAGATAATAGTTCCTGATCCAGATCCAGTTGCTCCTGTCTCTTAAAAACAGCTGCTCACTCTAATGCATAGCT